CCCCTGCTTGCTCCCAGGCCACCGGCCTCGCCCATTTCTCTCACTTCCCATTAACAGGTCACTGACCCCTGAGGACACGCTCCATCTCCCAGATGAGGTCAGAGTTGGCCTGAAGCTGCGGCTCGGGGAGACCGGGGTGGGGGGGCGGCTAGAAGCGGTGGGCCTGGCTGCCCCTCCGTGGCACCTGCCCACCAGAAAGATCCTTGGGGTCGGATGGCGATGAGCTTGGAGGCTAGGGGCTCCTTCCTGGGGGCGGGGACCACTGCTATGGGGCTGCCTCTCCATACACAGGCCCCCAGGCCCCTTCCCCACCGGCACTCCCCCTGAAGTTCTGAAGTTGGGGGGCCCTTACCGGCACTGTCTGGGCCCCTGCCATGGGCTGTGTGCTGGTCTCACTGCCTGGCTGCTCCGGGTGGGTCTGTGCTGGTGTATACAGGGTCATGCCGTGCTCTGGGGGGACCGGGTTCTGGCCTGAGTAGTCCGGCGTGGGGTGCGGTGGCGGCGGGGCGTACTCGGCGGGGATGCCGTTCTGTGGTGGAGGGGGGTACTGGGCCGGGGGGTAGGGCTGGGCCATCGCTTCAGGCGGAGCCGTGGCGTCCTGATTGCCCTGGGGAAGGAGAGAGCAAGGCTGGTTAGACCTCCATACGACCTGGACACTGCCCCCTTTCACTGCCCCCTCTCCAGAAGGCTCTGTGGTCTCCAACTGTACTTTCAGCAGCATTTTCCATTCCCCCTAGGAGGGGGGCTACCCCAGCATGGGGCACCAGCTCAGAGCCGGGCTGCAGGGGGAATTCTGGGGAGCCCACGTCTGGGGTGAGACACCTCTGTGTTTGAGGCCACTTGTGCAAACTTCCCAGGCCTGAGTACACTGAAGATGTTTTTTTTTGTTTTTAATCCACCTAATTTTAAAAAAATTAAATATTTTGAGATAACTGTGGACACAACAGTTATAAGAAATATCTCAGCATGATCCCGTGTACCCTCTACCCAGTGTTCCTCAGTGGTGACATCTTGTGAAACCTTCCCCACCAGGAGAGTGACATGGGTCCAGTCAAGATACAAAACGTCCCAGCAGCACCAGAATCCCTCCTGTGGCCCTTGATAGCCACACCCTCTCCCTCCCGCCTTAGAAAGGCTTTTAAGCCTCGGTTTTCTCATCAGTAAAGCAGGAGTGAGGGAAAGCGATTCCCAGGCTGCAGGGAAGATGACTGGAGTTGATCGTGCAGACAGGGAGCCTGGTTCAGCTCGGCCTCACGGCGGCCACCGGGCGAGATGCCATCAGGGGGGCAAGTAGGGTCCCTGCCTCTGTCTTGAGGATCCTGGAGATGTCCCAAAGATCCCTCTCACCCTCTTGAAGGCCTGCTGCCCCAGGAGGGAAAGTGCTCCCTCGACGCTGATCCCAGCCATGTGGGGGCTCTTAGAAGCCCTGACCCTTAGCAGGGCCCGGAAACACCCTAGGGCAGCGGTTCTCCAAATGGGGTGCCAGAACCTGCAGCAACAGCATCACCTGGGAGCAGATAGCAAGGCAGATTCTCGGCCCCGCCCCAGACCTCCTCCTGCACTCTGGGGGCTTGTGAGAACCACTGACGTCGGGCATAAAGAGCAGCCCTGGTAGCAGGTCCCTCAGCCCCAGAGAAGCCACTGGGGTCCTTCGTGGTGCCAGGGGAGGTAGAGGTGGAGCAGGGTTCTGGCTGTCCCTTGCTGTGGACACACACTGGGGAGCAGGGGAGGCGGCCCCTGGCCTTCTGAAGGTGTCTCCAGGGAAGAGGGTTCCTCACCACCTGGAAGGACAGGGGCCACCTCTCACTGGAGTAGCCTCCCAGCGTGGAACGACCCTTGCACACACAGGGACGGCTGACCCTTGTGACTGCTTTCCCGATGCCCTGGGACCTTGCGTGTGCTCCCGCGCTCCCCATCAACGTCTTGCGTGTTTTTTTTTTTTTTTTTTTTTTTTTTGGGGCGCGGGCCCCCC